GTTGCCCTCAATGGGAGTACGTCCAAGCATATATATCAAAATTGGGATAGAAAAATAAAGCTACGAGAAGGAGAGGGAAGAAGAAAAGGGTGGGATGACAAGGTGGGCAGCTTTTAAAGCAAGATGAAGAGTACGTAACAGCGCAAACTAAAGGAGGGAATAGAAGAAACGAGACAGAGCGCTGAGTCAGCACTCCGTCTCCTCCCTTCTATACCCTCCTGTCGTTTGCGCTGTTAAGCACTTTTTATCATGTTATAACAACACGCCCAACCCTACTGCCTTTAAAACCAGTTTTACAGGCCAGTGTTTCCAATCAATTCAATTGAAGCGTGTGATTCGAGATCTGGGACTGGCAGGGGGGGGGCAGGGAACAGAAGGTGCCTCAGTGCAGCCACAGGAAGATCAGCAACAAATAAGAAATAGTCAACTGGCACTAATAAAGGGCCAAAAATAGAGCACAGACAAAAAAATTAAAGCATACGTGTAATTCGCTTCTGTTTTTCTTTTAATTTACTTCTTCAAGAGTGCTTCACCAGGTCACAAGAGAAAGTGTATTAGACACTGGAAGCTCTCGCAAAACCAATGAAGAGATTTGTACCACAAGCATACTTTAACTGTTTCATTGTGAGTCGACAAAGCATGATGCGAGTAGGGAAACATTTGCCACTTTCGTGTAGACTTCGCAAGCCGAATTCCTCCCCTGCCCTGTTTGGTATTAAAAAAAAAACTAGAAGCTGGAAGATCACACTACGCAAACGCATGCATCAACACGTCATGCGCACACAATGGTAGATGCCCACGACATTCCCAAATCAGGTTATTCACGCAAGCGGCGTTGTGTCATTTCGGCGTTGTCTATAGTGGCCTACCTGTTTCAGTGGGATGAACCCGCACGTGTCGAGAGGTTGCAGGCTTGAATCAGCTATCCTTATCACGATATATACAGTGTCGCACCACTGCAACTGTTGTGAGGAACGATGCATCTACAGTACACAAAGTTTTGTCAGGACTAGCGCCGGCACGACGCGAGAGCGGTGAGAACAGAAACGCTGGCAAAATCCAAGGAGGCCACTTGGTCTCAAATATCGCTTGATTTGAAGAAAAAAGTAATAAGAACATTAAAAGCGCGCGCAGATGCAGTTAGAGTGTTAGAATGTTTATATCAGGTATCCTTTTTGTCATCATAAACTACAGAATATTTTTTCTTTCCTGTCGTCGACACAGGTCTTGCATGTATATTTTCGGAAGATTGAGTTTTTAATTGTTTATTCCGCATATTATTACAATTTTGAGGAATTAAATGGTGTTTTGCCGGCCTAAATTTGGTGCCTGAAACATGACTTTATTGCCTAAGATTTCCGCCCCTAGTAATAGGCGGTTACTGAGTACATTTTGCATTACTCCCGTTTAAATGCTTTATACTAGTATTACGCTCTCTATCAACCGCTAAGTACAGAGTATTGTTGCTTTCCAAAAAAAAAATATATGCTCTTGGTCTTTTTTATGGAAAGCCTTTATTTGCGTGCTTCAAATACTTTGAGTGTCTAACTGGCTATCTATCTATCTATCTATCTATCTATCTATCTATCTATCTATCTATCTATCTATCTATCTATCTATCTATCTATCTATCTATCTATCTATCTATCTATCTATCTATCTATCTGTCTGTCAATCTATCTATCTATCTTTCTATCTATCTATCTATCTAACTAGCTAGCCAGCTGGCTATCTATCTAGCCACCTACGTCTGGGTTATCCCATGATGACCCCCTTAGCTTGAAGATAACCTATACTAGTATGCGAGTTTGGGATTTTCCACAAATATGACTCGGAAATAATAACATGAGAAGTTCCTAATGCCGTCATCTACGTCATCAAACTCTTTCCGCCAAACATGCGGCACATATCCGCCACCGAGTATGTGCCACTGGCATGTGGGTGTTTGCCACAGGTGATTATTAACAGCGTACAAAAACACTGAATTTATTGTCGTATCCCATGAAATGCGGGAATCGATAGGAACGGCACTTGCCGAGTATCACAGCTGCGCCTTACGGGCGCCTTTGCTGGTAGCGCTGCCTATGGGTTCAAAATTATTGTTCGTAATTACCCGTCTTGATAACATCCTCATATCACGACATATACAGAAATGAAAAAAGTAATTAACAGCTAACACTGTTCGCCTCATCGCATGAGCCAATCGATTCATTGAGCCTCAACAGTGCCCGCGGGACTTCGAACCACCACCACCACCACAGTCTACGCCAGCCAAGGTATCTCCTGCAAACGTACATGGTTTCCTTTCGCCCAAGCAAATGCTATAACTATGCTCAATTAGCAAGGCGCCACGTACGCTGAGGCAGTGTATGACTACGGCATGAGCCATTTCCTGAGGCTCGTCTACGTGGAGTTGCGCAGAGGTACCAGTCTAAGGGGCTTATACCTAAGCAACACGACACGGGATTTGAAGTTATCAAGCGCGTGGCTCCATCAAGAGACAACTTGCCGATCAGCCCACCCAACTTAAAACAATGCGATTGCTTGCCCTTCTGGGCCACACGATTTTGTGCTCCGCCACAGTGACAGGAAAAACCTGACGCTTGCCGTTCTCAACATGCAGTCTAAGCGCGTACACGTTCAATACCTTGAATTCACTTTGCTGAAACAAACTGGCTTGCTGGATCTCTCTGAATGCTAGACATATGAGCCAATGTACATAACTTACATTTGGATATTCGAGTACTCAGCTACAGCAAGTGCCCTCATTTTAAATGCGCTGGCGTTGCCATATATAAAAACACCCCATTTTGCATCTGAAACATTAGTGGCATAGCACTGCGCTATCCTCCACAAGCCAAAGACACAGACGTTAGCACCTGAATTGGCAGTGTATGTATTGTGCACATATATTACAATGACAGCTACAGCACACTTGCCACCATTTACTTCATCACTGACAAACCAATAGAATCAGTAAAAACATTCATATCTACGTTTGTTGGAAATGACATCACAACCGTGGGTGGACTCCTGATAGCAATATTCCTGCAGAGAGGAGCATGCCTCTCATCATTGCTCGCTACTTTATAGCGAATATTTCGAAACACAACCACACCCTGTTCACACAATGCATGAAATACGTTTCCTATGTAGACAAAGCCTCCCTGGATCTCGTGCCCACGACAAAGAAAGGAGATGCCATTGACCACTTCTTCCTCAAAAAAGTCAACAATTTTGAGCGAATAATTTTTATTCACGCCTCAACGAACATACCACTTTAGCAGACGATCAGGCTATGTAATAACAACAATACTCCTGTTGATAATGCTGTCAATTCACAGTGATTTGGTCCAATGGACGCAAGTATATACGTCGCAGAAATGCGTGTATTCGCAATGTGTGCGCACGTAACAGCCATAACGTGGAAATAAAACATTTCAGACTAACATAGTGTATGCTGGTAGTAGTCAATGTAGCTAACGTCCTTTCATCAACATGCTTCGCATAACGTCGATTGCCAAAAAACGAGGGACCAATAGGCTTCGGGGTCGCGGTAAGTTTGAGCACAACAACAATAACTAGAAGAAGATAGATCAATCGCTCGTAGTAATGAGAATATGTTCGACGTAATGCAATATGTGGGGTGTTTACCGCAAGTAACTTTCAAAAACTAAGGGCATCAACGCGTGAGCTTTTGAACATTGACTTAAAAACTGCTCTCTTATCCTACACATTGTACGGCTATTCCAGGCACACCATCGTTGTAACTTGTGCATACACATCATTATCGTTCCTTCTCGTTGGTAATCTGAGCTGAGTGATGCACCATGGGTTAAACGCTTCCGCTCGCTCTGCCTAGTGAACCCTGCCTGCATCTTTCAATATATTGTAAGACAGTTGCAGCGTTGGGGTCTCGACGGCGTTTATTAGGCCTAATTGCCTGATCAACGCTTCGAACGAAGACGACATTTTTTGTGATAATGATCATATGCAGATGAACAAGATGATGATCAAACGCTGTGAATATTATGCTTACACTAATTTCTCTCTAACGCGGAAGAGGCCAATGTGGCCGCTGTTTATGACGGTGGTGTACGTCGCACAAATGGTTTTAAGTGCAACACGTGAACAACCTCTGTACCACGAAAACGGCCGTCGGAAGGCATGACAACAGGGGTTACTTGGTAGTTAAGAGGAGATGCCTGCACGACTATAGCGTAGGGGCCGATGAAACTTGAGTTAGAATTACTACAATATATTCATCTTTCATCCCCCAATAACCTCAGTTGAAAGACACAGCGCTTGTCTGCGTTTCTTCTTTTCTCATCTCTTCTGTAGCTTCCGCGCTATTGCGTTTGTGATGAAAGATACCTTATGTCTGGGGTATAATAGGGCAAAATATGCACTAAACTTTTCTAGATAATTTTTCAATCACAACTACTACGGATAAGTGAAGTACAGTGCTCTGGTCTTCAATGCTCAGGGTATCTTAGCTAATTGTACGAAGGCATTGTGAAAACGCGCTAATAATAGACCGGGACAAAGTCGAGTGACAGATCCTTACTTTCTGCTCTAGTCTATAATATTCGAAATACAACAGATACACACGAACTGGCAATCTCTTTTTGTTTGTGCTATATAACGAAGCCATTTATCAATACAATTTCATTAAATGCTCATTTGTAGGCATACGGAGTCTTTCACAAAAGAATAAATGTCAGTTAATTCCACTATACTACAATGAATCCGTATTGCTCACAATTGTTTTTTATATATTTGAAAAAGACATAATTGTACGTACTGTCGAGCCTTTTCCTGAAGCAATACATCGCTTTACTGCTCCTTTCAATAAAGAAAGCCTACAGTAAACTATGTTTTTGTACAACAGATAAGCTTTTTGCTTTCAACTTAATTACGAAAAAAAGTGTTTTTGCAAAATATGAAGGTTGAGCTTTACAGGCTTGGAAGAAAGTTTCTTGCTACGTGCTTATACTTACCAATCACGAGAAGAAAAGATGACACTGCAAGAAATAAAATGCACTTCATATTGATGCATACAGCTTGCTTCAGTGCGTGCCAAATTGCGTGGCTGCTTAAAATACCGACTTTATATGTTTGTGGTGTTGAAGAAAATATTGTCGTCATGGATCAGCTTTGTGGATGTGCTCTTATGCCTGCAAACTTTACAATTGTAGCCGTTAGAGATCAAACTTTTTTTTGAAAGTGAGTGCTGTCATTTTCAGAAGGTGGTTTTGGCTTTCTCTGTGATAGTCTTGCTCACGGATGGCCCCTAAAGCGAATACATGTAGAATTGCTATTTTTACTTATAATGACACTTACAATTGGCATACAACACAACAACTCTGTATGTCAACATCTGCATCGTCGAAAGATAAGGTGAGGTGCTCTAAATGGCCTATTTTACGCTAGCTCAATATAAGACATTTGATAGGACGTCTCTCTTGCGGCTTTTGATAATACTCAGTAGTCATAGCGCTCTTTGAATGAAGAGATACTAATGACCGCTAATCCAGGTGCCAGTGGTTTTTCGGTCGACACAAATAAAAGTTCATTGAGGTGGCTCCGGAACCGTAGCAAACTGTACGATTAGAATCCTGGGTTTTAGGATAAGCGTGCAATTGGGAGGAAAGAGTTATGCAAAAACTTCAATAAAAATTGAATCTTAGAGAAGTAGTCCAGCTTGATGGAAACACGTATGTAGAAAATACAGAAGGCCAAGCATTTTGACATGAGCTTTCGTGAAAAGCCAGAGCTTTGCCACAAAGATGAAGCAATGCACGCGAGAGCAACAAATTGGAAGATCCCGTGCAGATTGGAAGGCAGATCGAAACGTGTCCCGCGTTTCTCACGCACGAAAGACGCCCGAAACGTGCTCTCAGGTACTGATGCACGTGAATAGCGCCTCATTTGTTACTTCGCTGTGTCTGAAAAGCGCGCGACTGTCGCAAAAGGAGACGGCAATGACTGCAGAGACCTTTGTGCACCCGGTAACAACAACAGAATTGTTGCCCTGTCGCGGTGGTCTAGTGGCTAAGGTACTCGGCTACTGACCCGCAGGTCGCGGGTTCAGATCCCGGCTGCGGCGGCTGCATTTCCGATGGAGGCGGAAATGTTGTAGGCCCGTGTGCTCAGATTTAGGTGCACGCGAAAGAATTCCAGGTGGTCAAAATTTCCGCAGCCCTCCACTACAGAGTCTCTCATAATCATATGGTGGTTTTGGGACGTTCAACTCCACATATCAATCATTACAACAGAATTGTTCAGGCAAAGCCCGAGACCAGCCAAGACGTACCATCTTTTTCTCCTCCCCACCGTGAGATAAGGGCTTGTGAGGAAGCATCGCTCTCCCCCTCTAAGCGGGGAAAATTACGCGTGGCAGATTACAGCGCGGCCGCATTGCGAAGTGTTGGCACACGCTCATTGTGCCGTCTTGGTGGTAATGCTGAAAACACGATAGTTCCCTCCAAGATGCACTTGAGCAACGCTATGCGGTAGATATAAATATTCTGCCGTTTGAGTGGTGGACAACGTGCTCCTCGGTGGCTCAGTGGTTAACGCCTCGCACTCACGAATAAGAAGGCCCAAGAAAGCCCTTTTCTGGGTTTTATTTCTTTCTTGCATTTTATATATAAATACGTGTACATATACGGTGAGTGAAGGCGACGCCGACGTCGTCGCCGGCGGCAAAATCCAGCCGAAAGTGTCCATATAGTTGGTACGGCAATAAAACTAACGCCAACCTGAAGTGCGCTACAGCGGCGACGCAGCAACCTGAGAAAAACGAACGTGCTCTAACTGGCTCTGGCATACTGCGGGTGGCCAGAAGTGATAAATTGAAGACCCCCCCCCCCCCTTGTCTTGTGCATACTTACGCGTTCTTTTGGAAAGTTCTTCTTTCTGGTGTTGCTGCGTGCTAAAAGTATCAAGTTGCTTCTCATTATTCGTGTGACATACTAATTATTTGCTATCACATTCATTTATTTGCCCTCGTGCCGAAACTGAGGCAGTTTTTGTCACCATACCAGCGCTCGATGTGCAGACGCTACCTCACCGTGCTGACTGTCCCACAGCACCAAGTGTGTTCACGAACACGGTTGCGGTAGCTCCTTTGGACATTGTCACAATAAAATTGTTTTTCCTGTCGCTGTACAGACTACGATTAGCCCAGATTTTGTTCATTTGCCATCGTGCCAATGACGATGCCTAAGGCACCTCCGTTGTGTTAGCCGATACACTGGCCACTGAAACAAGTTGGCGTGCTGCGAAGTGGTGCTTTGGAGTGACCGTGAGCAAGCTGTGTACTTCTCGACATGGCAGCGGCTTGATGGTGTTGAATCTGGGAAACCAGTAAAATAAATGTAACCTTTGCGGCAGTGTAGCACAATATTCTTGCTACTGTATTCAAACCGCTCTGTTGCACTGATGATATAACTGTTTTTGCGTGTCATCTTTGGAGCACTATGATGTAGCAAACGTATTCTTAAGATTGTTGCGTTGCAATACTGCTTAAGGTTTCCAATATAACTTTTGCTGGGATGAGAAGGCTTGTGTGTTGGTGCCTCCAATTATCGCTGTTCTGGCAAAAGTATTACGTCCTCAATAAGTTGCTTTTCATGTACGAAAGGAAAATAAAGTTCAAGCTCAGTTTATCGAAGGGTCGACTATACTCAAATAGTTTTGCTAAATAGAGAAATTCATAAATAGAAAAAAAAACGCTTTGGTCTTTCGAAATCTCATGTTGTAATGTGGTGTTGTTCTAATGCTACGTCGGCAATACTTTCGTCGTGAGTCCATGAATCCATGTATAAAGTGTTAACAAGGGTGCTTTAGGAGCGCCAACAGATGGATGTCACACCTGTCCCGTTAATTCGGGGAGGCGATCGCCGGGCTAATTCCAAGGGCCGAAGTATTGGCCCCCCGAACCGCACCACGAAAGCGTGGACAATTTAGAAGTGGTCCTTTTTGGCGCGCCAGCGGACGCCGGCTGTGGTCCAAAGAACAAGTCAGAGCCGAGAGTTGATAAACAAACAAAATTATATTCTCATTAACGGCAGATCAAAAACAATACACACGTATGCACACTCCACAATAGTTACATACAATACGTCACCAAACAAACAACGTCCTACACAGTACAATCAGCCACACTTGAAACAACGGACACAGACAACAATATGCACTACAATGCAGTCGCATGCATGCAACAACCAAGACACTTAAAGACTAAAGAGATATAAAACCTATTCAGTCCAAAGTCCTTGGAACAAAAGTCTGAATGATACTCTTCCGAGAATCACTCACTCAAAGTCCAGCGTTGTTGTCGTTCCGCGCCCTCGAAGTTTCTCTTCCAGGAAACCTCCCGTCTTCAATTGGCCACTCTTCAAACTTCAACTTCTTCGCCGGAACACGTCGGCTTCACACCCGCAGCTGTTGCCACGGGTCTTCGCTCGATAGCGGAAAACACACGCTCTTGCCTGTAGCCCGAGCCTTCACCCATCAGGTGGAAATCCTCTTCATCTCCGGCTTCGTCCCTACGGACCAAAACCTTCGCCCACTACACGGCGGAATCCCTACGCGCTCTGGCGTTAACTTCCGTCTCCTCCTGATCTCTCATCTCGGCTGCTCGGTTAAATACCTTGCGCGCGACATTCCAGACGGTTCTCCTCATTTCGTCGGCGCGATACGCAGCGAAAGCTGGGGAGAGGTGCGAGACGGTTCGACTGCCCTCCCCGGAGGATGATTCAACTCGGTATGACCCCGCCCCGTTCGTTCTAAAAAATCGCGGGCTTGCTGGGTCGCCGATGTGGGGTGAGGAGGTTCGTCTGCGACGCCACGCTTCCGCGGGGAGAGCGCGCGCCCGGGGAGCCTCGGACGTTTGCTTTCTTTTTTTTTTCTTTTGACCTCGCGGCGTTTCTCCCGCCCGTTGTCGCAAGAATTTGGCGGCGCGCTCTTTTTTAGCGCTCGTTCTGTGACACTGCCCCCCACTTTAAGAATATTATCTCATAATATTCAAAACCACACAAACGAGCGCGAAAAGTCACCACACACTCTCACAGACTGTAACACAATCCGTCGCTCATGACACTTCACATTCACAATATATCACTCAATACGATTGTACATTGTAATTCAATTACACAACACGTGAAAACACAACCACAAGCACATGAGTACAACACTCCACCACACATTCCCAATAATACAAATGTACAAAGTTCTCTCACTACAACAATGGTACAATACTATACATCACATCACAGCACAACACTTCGACACTTGTGACACGGGATACCACAACATTAACACAACATATGGCACTCAACACTGCCAAACACATTCTGCTTGGACCTCAGCACTTATCCTGTGTACTTTGAGCGGCGCTTGCGCCCTTTCTTGCGGTGCTCGCTCGATCTCTTCTTGTGTTTCCACGTTCGGCGAGCCCTTTCTAACGACGATATCTGAGGCGTCGTCTCAGCCATCGCTGTCTCTTCCGACACCGTTAACGCGTCATTACATTCGACGGGTCCTGTCTGTTTATTTACCCGCTTGATCATGCCTGTACATTTTGCCCGGCTGGCCAACTCCGTCTCCTTTACACTGTCGGTCGGTTGAGGTCGTGCCGACGTAAGTCCGGTTGCTCGGCCCGTGAACTGATTCGACACGATCGTCTTCTCCTTCGCTGTCTCTTGCGCCGCAGCTTCACCTTGGGCTCTAGTGAGATCCGTCACGGGATGCTCCTCCACTGTATCTCGCGGCCGCTGTGTTGGCGAGGGCTCTATCTTCGGGTCTTCTCCCAAACATTCTGGATCACTTGGCCCTCGCGCCCCGTCGATGTTTCCGATGACAAGGTCATACAGGGGGGTCGTCATGCATAAAGCAGTAACCTTCCCGCTGAAGTACGGGGTTTCAACCTCATTTTCTGCTTCGGGAAGCATCCGAACCGTACGGTCAATTAGGCAAACCGGCTTCGTTCTGCCTGTCAACTCACTTTCCCGTACCAAATTTCTCCGCACGATAACAGCGGAACTGCCGGTATCTCTTAACACCG